ACACACACACACACACACACACACACACACACACTCACACACACTCACACTCACACAGTTTGATAGACTTTACTTTTTTTCTTACTCCTATATATCCATTCTTCATCACAGCTTGCTATTTATGAATCTGTCAGGAGATTCTCATTTGAGACACACACACACACACGTAAGAATATATCTTCTATCTCTCTATCGTTGTTTCTGGCAAACGAGAAGAAAGAGACCTCAAACTCTGACAAAATATTTTGGAAGATAATTTGAGCTTTGAAACTGGAATACTTGATATACCATGTGCTGCTGGTACATAACCAAGAGGAAGGACAATGTATTTCTACCTTTTACTGTGATATAAGTGACTAACATGCTTTGTAGCTTTTTTTTATTACATTGCAGGTATACTTGTCTGAAAACGTTTTAGTCAAGGGCTTATCAAACATAGCACATTTCTCTCTCACACAGAAACATGGCCTGTACAAATAGAAGACCACAGTGTTGAAAACTGTTTAATGATAAACATGGGAAGGGCAGGCACTTAATTTCATGGTAGAGACGGCAGCATTAAGAAGGTTTACTGTTCCACTGTTGTAATGGTAAACACTCATGAGATACTTGTCTTTTAATGGAAAGTCAACACCACAACAGCATATGACGCATGTCTCGCAGCAGTATGTCACAGGCTTAGAAGAGACGAAAATGTAATCTATAAAAGAAAATATTGAAAATACTTATTTTTAATACTACTCATCCTAATCATTAGGATCAGCTGTTTTAAGCTACAGTGAACCTAGTTATACTTAACCTGACCTTTTTTTATTTTATATGACAATATAATTTGTATAATACAAAAAAATATATATATTAAGTTAACTTCTTTAAAAATGGCAGAGGGACCTCTTAGTTAACTATCCCCTTCAAACTCCTTAGTAGCCCTTAAAGAATAACATTTGCTGCTAAGAACACAATGTTTGTCTTGTGACAATTTATACGATTCCCCATCCGTTTATAAATGTTTGTTTACTTTTTGCATCCACATGTAAAATGTTCTGGCTCACAAAATGTGTTGTAAAATGAATGAGAAAGCAGCATGTGGTTTTATGTTTTCTACATCAGCGTTGGTTTAATAAACATTGGCCTGCACCTGTTAACAATGTAATGCAATGAAGATTAATGTAATTACGCTGCATTTCCACATTCCCATGTGTGTGATAACAGCAAGGGAGACACCAAACAGGGATTCAAATGTGACCTAAACACATGTGACCTGCTCCATCGAAATCAGTCACATTGACCCGAAGACACATTTTGAGTTGTATACACTGTTGGAAAGAGGAGATTCCTAGCTTTCCAATGATATCAGGATTGTTTTTGTACTCCAAATATTAAGCAAAATATGTCACATTATATAATGACTGTCACCGAGTCATAATTTTGAGAAAAAGGCCTTCAAAGTTTCCTCTTCTCTGGAATCCATCGAAATGAAAATATCTTCCCTCCGTAGTATTTTGATAATTTGCTCCGGTAATAATCAAAATACTACGGAGGGAAGATATTTTCATTTGGATTACTGGTCTGGGGGAAGCTCGCGAGTGTGTGTGTGTGTGTGTGTGTGTGTGTATTGTAATATC